AAGGTATATGATTTGTTGAATGTAAACTGATGATATGCCCTGTAAACTTTCACTCAATCCACAATAAAAACCTTAAAAAAAAAAAAAAGAATATAAAGGAATACACAGTCACTGCACAAAAAGAAACGGTAGATGTTCAACTATTTTAATACGTACCACATGATCAAGAACCGATAGTACTAAAGGAAGTCCAAGCTGCACTGAAAGCATTGGTAAAAAATAAGGTTCCAGGAACTGACAAAATACAAATGGAAATATTTCAACAAACCAATGCATCATTGAAGACACTCATGTGCTTGTGCCAAGAAATTTAGATCAACTGATTGGAAGAGAATCATATTTGTGCCCATTCCAAACAAAGGTGACCCAACAGAATGTACAAATCATAAAATGACATAATTAATGTGACATCCAAGTGAAATATTCTTGAAGATAATTAAAAAACACTTATACCAGTACATCGACAGGTAGCTGCCAGATCAAGCTGGAATTTGAAAGGAATGTGGAATCAAGGATATCATTGCTGATGTCAAATGAATCTTGGCTGAAAGCAGAGAATACCAGAAAGATGTCTACTTGCGCTTTATTGATTATGCAAAGGCATTCAACTGTGTGGATCATAACAAACTATGGATAACATTGTGAAGAATGGGAATTCCAGAACACTTAATTGTGCTCGTGAGGAACCTGTACATAGGCCAAGAGGCAGTCGTGCAAACAACAAGGAGATACAGAATGGTTTAAAATCAGGAAAGGTGTCCAGATTGTATCCTTTCACCATGCTTATTCAATCTGTCTGTTGAGCAAATATTCCGAGAAACTGGATTATATGAAGAAGAATCGGGCCTTAGAATTGGAGGAAGACTCATTAACAACCTGTGATATACAGATGATACAACCTAGCTTGCTAAAAGTGAAGAGAACTTGAAATACTGATGAAGATCAAAGACTACAGCCTTCAATGTAGATTGCACCTCAATGTAAAGAAAACAAAAATTCTCACACTGGACCAAAAAAATAGTAGCATGGATTCAATAGAGCCAAGATTGAAGTGGTCAAACTTTTCATTTTGCTTAGATTCATAATCAACACTCATGGAAGCAACAGTCTAGAAATTCAACAATATATTATACTAAGCAAATCTGCTACAAAAGCCTCTTTATAATGTTAAAGAACAAAGATGTCAGTTTGAGGACTAAGGTGCACCTACTCAAGCCATGATATTTTCACTTGCCTCATAAACATGTGAAAGTATGAATAAAAAGAAGTACAGAAGAATTGATGCATTTCATTTATGGTGTTGGCAAAGAATATTGAAAGTACTATGAACTGTCTGAACAAATCTGTCTTGGAAGAAGTACAGTCAGAAGAGTCCTCAGAAGCCAAGATGGTGAGACTTCTCTCATACTTCGGACATGTTGTCAGGAGAGACCAGTCCCTGGAGAAGGAAATCATGCTTGGCAAAATGGAGAGTCAGCAAAAAAGAGGAAGACCCCCAACGAGAAGGACTGACACAGTAGCAGCAACAATGGGCTCACACATGACAATAATTGTGAAGGTGGAGCAGGACTGGGCAGTGTTTCGTTCTGTTGTACTATGAGTTGGAACCAATTCGACAGTATCTAACAACAATTGCAATGAATTATCAAACCCAGAAATAGAATATCATGGGAGGGACAGTTGGTGTCAGAATTGGTAAAAATGGAGGGTGATTTCTGACCTCTGCCTCACAGGAATCAGTCTTGGGTTGTTGATCTTAATTTGCTAACTGCAAGGTCAGCAGTTCAAAACCACCAGCCAGTCTACAAAACAAAGTAGAGGCTGTCTGCTTCCATAAAGACTTGCAGTCTCAGAAACCCTACATAGAGTTACTAGGAGTTGGAATTGACTTGATGGCAGTGGGCTTGGTGTTGGTTTGTGAACACAAAGAAGGTCAGATGCCTCTGCCATGCCATTTTTATTGTAGTCCAGGCAGAAGCGGGGGCTCTTTTCTTCATCCTCAGCTGGTACCCAGTGATCCTTGCTGTGGTCCTATGTAACCCCTGGAGCTTTGAAAAGCTTGACTTCTGATTGGAGGTTAAGTTCAACTAATCATGCCTCCTTAATGAAACTGTGTAAAAATTCTGGACCCTGAAGCTCAGAAATGATGATAGTGACAAGGTCTTTAAACCCAACCCCCAAGTGTACAAAGAATATTGCATTTGAATGAATCTATCAAATATGCTCAAAATTATCAAATAAAAAGTTGACTTCTTTCCTACAAGGCAATCTCTAGCCAATCTTTGTGACCCTTCAGTACAGAGCCTTGGGAGCCCTCCCTGACTTCATTGCCATCTGCCGCATCGGTAATTGGGTAGACTCTTAAGGAAGAAGGTGGTGTGAGAAAGAGGGGGAGCAGGAGGAGGAAAAGGGATTATTAAGGTCGGGGAGGGCTTCATGTTGTAAAAATCTGACAAGTATTTTCCTCTTTCTAATCGCATCTGGGATCCCATTAGTCTTCTGAGCACCTTCAAGATGCCAGGAAAAAGAAAAAAGAAAAAAAAATCTGTTCTCTGGGCTGGTTTGGGGCCATTGTGTACTTGCACCTCCATTCCAGAAAGGCTTGTTTGTATCGTGTAAGGTAAAGGAGAAAAGGGAAAAGGCCACCTCCCAGGTCGGGGTCCTAGGAGTGGTGGACTTTCTATGGTGCCCCAGGGGTAAGGCAAGGTGGGGATGAACCAACCTGGAGACCTTCAGAGAGACACACAAATGTACCAGTACCAGCTTTTAACCAAACAGCAGCTTTTACTGAGCTCCAGGTGGGACTGGCCTGGCCTGGCCAGGGCAGCAGGCTATTCTCAAGGGTCAGTTGGTGATATGATGGGAAATGCGGAGGTGCACACAATGGGACTGTCATTAGAAGCTTACCAGGATGGCTCAGAAGGGAGTGAAGGCCAGGGCTCTTTGGAGGCCAGAACTGGCCAGGGTGGCTTTTCAGCCTCTCTCACAGGCCCAACCAGGTCAGTCCCCCGGTCTTGAGGCTGGGCCTCCTGGGCCTCCGGGGCACTGCTGCCCTCACCATTCTTCTGAAGAAAGAAGGCCAGCAGCACAATCAGAATGACAAGCAGTCCGCCGCCCAACACCAGCCCGAGGTAGATCCGGCAGCGGGTGTTCTCCCAGCGCTTCTTCTGGGCCAGTGTCTTGGTCGTCTTGCTGAAAGTGGTGCTCTATGAACACCCCAGACACAGGGTGGAAGTTAGAGGTTCCCCCAGAGACTCAGAGCCAGCTCCACCCAAGCCCAGTCTCTGCTCTAGCAAGACCTAGTTTCCTCTTGCATCCTCCCCACAACCTGCCCAGGCCCCTCCAGGTCTGCCTCCCGGCTTCAAACACTGGTGTAGCCCTTGACTTCAGTGCTACTGGCTCACCTCCAATTAATGGTGCCAATCCTTGACCCTTAGGAAGGCACACAGCTCCAAATGAAGGACTTAGTTCCTAAGATCTATCTATCCCCTGCCTAAGCTAGGAAATCCAAAGATCCCACAATGACCCTCAAGTAGACCTCAGACCCTACCAAGGTCCTAGAAGTCCTGTGCACAACCTAAAACTCCTTTGGAGGGTTCCTCCAAGTCTCCCCTTCTCCCCTTCCTGCCTCCCCCCAGGCCTCGCACCATGTCCAGGAGTTGGTGTGAACGTTCCTCCAGCTCTGCCAGCTTCCCATCGCGCTCCAGGACCTTTTCGAAGTTGTTGAGCATGATTTCCGTCACTTCATCCGCCTGTTGCTGGCATTGCTTCAACTCCTTCCCTGCCTGGGCACCAAGCCCAAGGTCAGGACTGCATGAAGTCCCCATCTGGCCCTCATCTGGCCACATGACCTAGAGGCGCCTTGCCCCCACTTTATGAGTGTTCAGCATCCTTCTTGTACATGTGTGATGTATGTGGGGTGAAGGGCCTGCTGGGTCAGTGGAGCTTGCCTTTGGTCTTAGTGCCCCTTCCCCCGGCCCATCAAAACAGGAAGGTCAGTCCTGGTTCCCAGCATCTCTCTCAGTTTCCTCTAAACAGCCTCAGGGTGGGACCTTCCCAGGACCTCACCCTCTCACAAAGGCAACCTCACCTGCTCCAGGATAGTCAATGCTTTACGCACACCTGCTCTGTGGCTGCCCACTGGCCTACATTCACAGCCACCACCCCTTTTCATCAAGCCAATTCTGGCATATCGTGACCCAATAGGAATCCTGCTCCATAAAGCACACTGCCTCATCTTTCTCCCCAGATCAACTGGTGGGTTTGAACCACCAACTTTTAGTTAGCAGCCTCGTGCTTAACCCAAGGTACCACCAGCGCCCCTTTCACGGGCCTAAGGAGGCAGTAAAGAGCAGGAAACAGTTTCTTGGCTGGAAGCCTGATAGGGAGAAGCTCCATCTCAGACAGAAAGAAAAGTAATTTGGGAACTGCCCCATCCCCCAAATGGAGAAGCTCAGCTCTCCCTCCTGGGTCCCCTGACTAGTCAGGCCAGTTCTGCCTCCTGCCTGGCCCTTCTCCCCACATCCATGCCTGTGGTGGATTTCCTCTCTGTCTGAGAACTTCAGCCTTCCTGGCCTTTGGCCTCCAGCTTTTCAGTTTTCACTAGCAGAAAGAGAAGAGACCCAACCTTTGGATTTCCCAGCCAGAGCAGCAGCCTCACTTGACAAAAGAAGCCAGTTCATTTTAGAGGACTGAGAAGAGAGGTATAGAGTCCAAGCTTAGGAGGTTCAGAGAACAGGAGAAAGGAAGAAAGTATGGGTCATGAGCAAAAAAGGAACTGGGCTTTAAATGCAGGACTGAGAGCAACCTGGAGCAGGTAGCAATGGTGAAAGCTGGAGGTTGAGGGACATTTCAATGAGATGAATACCTGCAGACTAAGGAGCCAAAGCCTGCCACCACCCCCACCCCCAGCCCATCCCTGTTCCCATCTTCCCCCCTCAGAGCATCAGCAAAGATTCCTTTCCTGCCAGTCCTTATCACCCATTGTCTGAAACAGACATTTTGGCACCTGACTGAATTCCACTTAAAACCAGAGAAGTAAGTGTTGGAAAAGATCTGGTGGCCCCAGAGGAATATCTCCCACCCAGGCAAAAATCTTCCTTGAGGTTCTATGCAGCTGCCTGGCACACAGCCTCCAAGCATTCCCAGTATAAGAGTCTTCTCTCTTCAAATGGGTCACAACCTCCCAGAGGGAGGGACGGAACTAGTCCCCTACTTTATCCTCCACCATCCCAGGGCCCCAGGAAGCCAGCATAGCCTTGATTACTTACTTGCAAGATCTCTGTGAATGAGTCAATTGCATTGTAGCTATTTGTGGTACAATGAACTACTTAATATGGCTCCTCTAACAATGGCTTTTGTAACTCCCACCAAATGACCAGGTTGTTGTTGCTAAGTGCCGACTCATAGCCACCCTGTATAGGGTTTCCAAGGAGTGGCTAGTGAGTTTGAACTGCCAACCTTGTAGTTCAAACTGACATTTCAGTCCAGTATGTATCCTACAGCGCCACACTCGGACTCCAAAGGACCGAGTGGGGCTATGCAAATGCTGTGCTTGTGGTCCATCAAGGGGATTAGATAACTTATTAATAATGTAAATAAGGTGCATGGCACCCTTGTGGAGGTTATTCAGTGCTGTCCAGTCAGTTCTGACTCACTGTGACTCTGTATAGGGTCTCTGAGAAGGTGATGGTGTGTCCTAAAGTTGGTTCCGACTCATAGCGACCCTGTATAGGGTTTCCAAGGCTGTAAATCTTTATGGGAGCAGAAAGTAGCACCAAGCAAATAAGGTATATGGGTTGGTTATCTAGAAGACTGGTTAGTTTTACCATCTGCTAGACTTAACATGAGCCATTCCAGAGGCAGAGAGGGGGAAACCTCATGATCACCAAGAAGACAGAGGAGTAGAGTATATCCTTTGGAGTGGGAATCCCTATGCTAAGAACTTCCTAGGCACAGGAGACAGCTGTAACATCAGAAATGGTGAGAGACAAGAAGAAGCTATAGAGAAATGTTACCAACAGAACCAGGAGACTGGTAGGAGACAGGTCAGTGGGCTTCCTAGCCCATGGAGCAAGAAAGCTGAGCCCCTTGGGGCAGGAGGCTTGCTGCTAAAGTAGGGTACCTCTGAGAACCTGGTGGAGCTAGATTTGCTGACCCACAGAGTTAGAGCTGAGCGCCTTTGCAGCAGCTTGTTAGTGGAGTGAGCATTTATAGACAGAGCTAACGGGGGATCTGTAACACAGGCCCTTGCAGGGTTGAGGGCCAGAGAGAGGTCTACCTGCAGGCACAGCAAAGAAGAGGCTGTCCTGATTGAACAAGTGTATCCTGAGTTATTACGGATCCTGAATTGTGACCTATTACTTTGCTAATAAACCCCATAATTGTGAGAATGGTCTGTGAGTTCTGTGTGGCTGTTGCAGTGAATTAGTAAATTCTGCAGAGAAGTAGAGAGTGTCATGGGAGGGACAATCAGAATTGGAGAAAAATTTAAAAAAAAAATAGATTGGAGGGTTCAGGCATGTCTGACCTCTGCCTCATAGGTATCAACCTTGGACTGTCAGTGCTGATAATGCTTCTTTCTCGCTTTCATGAAGTTAGAGGAGGTCGGATGCCTTCCCTGTGCCATTTTTACACATAATCCAAAAGTAACTCTTATTCCCAAGAAATGTTATCCCAGGGTGTTTATCTAGCCCAGTAAGAGCTTAGAGGAACAGGCATCTGTAACCCAAATATGTTAATATTTACCCTTGCACTCAAGAAGCAGCTTGCTTAGAGAGGGCGCACAGGCAAGCCATTTTTTGGAAAGAGCATTCACAGGCGTGGGGAGGCAGTAACTGGGGAGCAAGGAGGGATGAGGAAGAGAGCAGGGAAGCTGTCATTTTCTCTACCTTTTCCTGAGTCAAGGAACTCTGGTGCCACAATGGTAAAAGTGCTTGGTTGCTAACTGGAAGGTTGGTGTTTCGAACGCAGCAGCCACTGCACAAGGGAAAGATGTGGTAGTGTGCTTTCATAAAGATGACAGCCTGGAAGCCCTAAGAAGCAGTTCTATTCTGCCCTGTAGGGTCGCTGTGAATCAGAATCAATAGCAACGGGTCTGGTTTTGGTTGGTTTTTTCCTGAGTCAAGGAACCAACTATCATCATCACTACTACGCCAATTATATTACTCAACAGGCTTCATTACTTGGTTCTTTGAACTTCTCCACATGCCAAAAGTCTAACACCAAAATTTAGGAATGAACAAAAATTTGGTCATAAGAGTCATTGTTAAGAGATTTGTGGGATGTTAGATATTATTTTTTGTACTCTTAACCACATAGCTGCTCTCTTATTCTGCAACAAGTGGTGATCCTGGGTCACATTCTCCAAGAGAGCTAACTGTGCCTACAGTTGCAGCCCTTCAGCCTACTCCTCTCACTACATGACACCGCATCTGCTCCCAGGGAAGACTGAGGCCTCAGAGCTAAACCTGGAGCCCTCCTTGGCCCCAGTCCAGAGGAGAAAGGTCACTGACTATACGCACACAGGTCTTTGTTAACTCTGTGAGAAACAAGGTCCTGAGGTGGTACAAACGGTTTGCACTAGACTACTGGCCTAAAGATTTATGTGACATGGAAGGATGTACTTTCCCAGAGGGCAAGAGCTAAATCTGTTATTGTGTCACATTGTAACTCAGCAATAGTGTTGTTGTGGTTAGGTGCTATCAGCTGATTTCAATTCGTAGCAACCCCATGGAAAAGAGTAGAACTGCCACATAGGGTTTTCTAAGCTGTAATCTTTATGGAGCAGATACATAGTTCTTTCATCTGTAGAGCTGGTAACTAGGTGGGTTCCATTAGTTAACCTGTGGATAACAGCCAGGCACTTAATTTTGTACTACTAGGGCTCTGATAGCATAGTGGTTACCAGTCAGGCTGCTAACCTCAAGGTCAGCAGTTGGAAACTACCAGCAGTTCCATGGGAGAAAGATGACACTTTCTATTCCCATGAAGATTTATAGCCTCGGAAACCCTATGAGTCACTATGAATCGGAACCAACTCCACGGCATACCACCCCCACCACCAGGGCTCATTTGGAGTCCTGGTGTGGCACTGTGGGTTAATGCGCTGGACTGCAAAGTCATTTTGAACCACAAGGTCAGCGGTTCAAGCTCACCAGCTGCTCCTCAGAAATCCTATACAGGGTCATAATGGGTTGGAACCGACTAGACGGAACTTAACGGCAACAACATCAGGACTCATTTGACTCAGTATAAACACTGACAAATATATTCCGAATGAATGGTGTTTGTTCTTAAGGAGTCCCTGGGTGCTGCAATGATTAAAGCTCTCAGCTTTAATCCACTCAGAGGACACTTAGAAGAAAGGCCTGGTGATTTACTTCTAAAAATTCAGCCACTAACAATCCTGTGTAGCAGAGTTCTATTCTGCCATACAGGTGGGGAGGGGTCACTCTGACTGGGAGCCCACTCAATAACAACGGATCTGTTTCTGGTTTTTAATCTGGCTGAAAAAAAAAGAGACATACGTGATCATTTAGAAAAGAGTAAAGAGTTACATGTAAGATATAAATATCAAGTGTTGCAGCAGCAGACTAGACAGTGATTCCTGAGAATTGTGGTTGCTCAGGGACATTGCTGGTATAGAGAGACTGGGGCACAAAGGCCATGAAAGACCAGGCAGAGGGCAGGGTGGGGCCAGAGAAAGCAGTAAAAGTCAGGAAGAGGAGGCTAGCTTGGAAGGAGTGCTAAAACAAGAGCTGTGGAGCCATGAGGACACTGGAGAAGTACTTCCGGGAAATGTTTCTATTGGCGATAGACTGGCACCAAGAGAAGTTGAGAGGTCTCT